CGCCCCACACACACCCTCAGACCACTTTCAGAATGGCAGAGTTTCTTTATTTGATCCATCCTTCCTTCCACAGACTTCTAGCGTATGAAAAACACCCATTTTGGGAGCTTTGCTTAGTGTGTGGGGGGAGGAAGATAGAGAAGGGCCATCTATTAACATGGCTCTGCTGCCATAGACTCATATCCTTTGGTGAACAAAGACCCATGAAGTGTTGTCCAGAAGGTCCTACATTCTGCCTCCCGCCCCAGGACCCAGCAGCCTTATTAGCCGCAACCCTCCTGGCCAGGAACCTTGTTTCTCTGCAAATCACGTCGCTGGCTCCAGCAGGCTGTGCACCACCCCAGCTGTGAGGGGGGGCGGAGGGGCAGTACTGGGAAGCCCAGGCCAGCTCAGGTGCCTGCTGGTGCTGACACGGAGCCCTGAGCTGCGGAGGAGAGCAGCCCTGACCCCACTCGCTGCTCATTCAGCTGAAAGGAGAGGATGTTGATGATCACAATGCCGTTAATTAGGACGGGAAGACTTTTTAAACGATTACCTTTCATTTTTTTTATTTTTAAAAAAAATATATTTCTTTATTTATTTCAGAGAGGAAGGGGGAAGGAGAGAGAGATAGAAACATGAATGATAAGAGAGAATCATTGGTAGGCTGCCTCCCTCACGTCCCCCACTGGGGATCGAGCCCGCAACCCAGGCATGTGTCCTTAGCTGGAATCGAACCTGGGACCCCTCAGTCCGCAGACAGACACTCTATCCACTGAGCCAAGCCGGCTAGGGCAAAACGATTACCTTTTAAAGGAGAGGGACCTAAGTGTAATCCTGGCCATGTCCACCAACGGTGAAACAGAAAAAGGCCTAGGCTTCGTGAGGAGAGTGAGGCTTAGTTCAGAGCCCCCTCCCCCCCACCCCCACTGCAGAGAGAGGTGTGGCTCCTCTGACCTTCAGGCCTGCACTGATCCCAGCTCAGAGCCTGGCCCCAGGGCTGAGGCCACAGTGTCCTTGCTCTAATAAGTCAGACCAGAAGCTCCCTCCTGGAGCCCAGCAGGGGATCTGAAGGCAAAAAGCCCTGTGTTTCTTTGGATCAGGGCTCTGCATGAAGGCCCCTGAGTGACTGAACAAGCTGTCCCCGTGTCTGTGGCTGCACTGTCAGGCCCTCACCCAGCAGGTGTGTGCAAAGCAAAGGCAACACATGAGAAGCAGGGAGTCAGGACACACTGACTACAGCAGAGAAGTGACAAATGACAGGGAGGGGAGAAGAACTCCAAGTGTGCAGCTGTGTGGAGCCATTTGGCACTGGGATAGCAGCCCCGTGGCCCTCACATGCTCCTGGGGGCATGGCGGGTGATAGCACTGACAGTGACTGATGCTCAGAGGGAGTCATCAGGCAAAAGCCGATTATGTTCACTCCACTCCATTTAAAAGGCAGGGATATTTAATGCATGTGAGAAACATTTATATCCCAATGACTTAAAATTTTTCTAAAACTCTTTAATTTTCTGGAGAATTGGCTCATCTCTCAACTGTTGCCAGAAAAATAAGGTGTGGCCATGCTTGAAGACACTGGATTTTAGGGCACATACATTTTCCTGCTTAGCAAGCTGTTGTTTTGTCATTGATTTAATATATATTGATTCGTAGACTCAAGGAGAGGTCTATTTTAATGTCTCTGAAGTCCCAATGTGTTTTTTCTGCAGGTCTTGCTCCCGTCAGACAATCCTTATGGCAGAATCACTGGTACAGTCAAGAGGAAGCTGGCTTCAAGGCTGTGACATTGCAGCCACCATTTGGACTCCACTCCCAGCTGAAGACTTCCTTAGGCCACTCGTGGTGCTAAAAATCATAGTATTTTTAACCTAGTATGTTGATTTATAGTGCGCATTTTCCTCGTGTATGAACAAATTCTTCTACACCTACCTCAGCAAGGTGTTTTATGATTAGTAGCTGTAACATGCTTTGGGGATACAGTTTATTTCACAAATGCTGAGCAGTATTAGAACAATCATAAATTAATATTTCTTTTTAGTTGTCTTGTGTCTTCCTATCTTAGAGAAACTTGGGAATCAATTCACAAAGAATCATGAATTAATGAAAGTGTCATATCAATGAATTTGTGCACAAGTTTAAGAAGCAAGCATTGTTTTCATTCGACTGAGGCTAAAACTTTGCTTCTGGGTACTGCAGAAAATGTAAGGACAAAATCGCATTTTGAAATATATCACCACTTTGACTTCAATTAGACTGAATATTGAATTTTTAAGAATGTTCTAGTTTATTCCTACTCTAAAAGTACTTTTGTAATCTTAATGTACTGGCTTTATGTATTTTGCAAGCCTTAGAGAATATTGAGTACACACTGGGGCTGTGGAAAAAAAAAGTATAAATTGCTTTCTTTGAATAATGCATCACTTTGTCACAAAGAACACATTTAATAAAAGCTAAGTCAATACACCGGTGAATGAATATACATGTAGAAAGAAGACTAGAGACTCTATAGATGGAAATATCAGTGGTGATGATTTCTGGATGGTGGGATTATGAGAGATTATTATTTTTGGCCATGCACTTTTCTGAATCTTTCAAACATGAACATTTACTACCTATATAATCAGAGAAATAAATATAATTGATGATTTAAAGATGCATACAAATTGGAGTGGTGATTATATCAACTGACTAACTCTACTATTGTATATATTATAAAGCTTCATAAACTATAATTTTAGAAATCCATTATGAAAACCTGTCCACTTGAACATTCTAGATAACCTTCCTCCATTTAAAAGACTCAATTTATTAATTTAAAAAATCTCCATTTTTAATAAATGCTTGCATATGAGCACTTAGTATAATCTGATAATTTTGCTTCTTTAACCTTTATAATATTACTACTTAAGGATGCATGGTATAGTGTTTAATTTCACAGGCTCATTTAAATCCTGGTTCCACCTCTTAGTAGCTATATGACAAGTTTCCTCATGTATAAAATGGAGATGAAAATAGAACCTACCTCAGAGGTTTTTGAGGATTAAAAATGGGTTAAACAATTGTAAAGTGCTTTGATAGTATTTATGCCTGTCACACAGAGATATGTATGTGTTTGTTAAAAGAAATATCCTACCTTCTTTTTCTTTGTTATTGACCCAAATAGAAAGCCATGGTTGGATTTTGTGGGTGGGGTGAGAGATGGGAGGTCTGAGAGCAGCAAACCTTAGAAGATGCTGGAGGCCATTCACCTGCTGGAGCCTGAAAGAACAGGAGATAAGAAGGATGAAGTCATTCGATAAGGAAAGCTCTGTGCTGTATCAAATACTCAGGTTACAAAATGTGCTTCCACATCACAGACCTCGCATGGCCCAATGGCTAGTACATTTTATCCTCCTACTGATTTTATAATTCTGTTCAGGGAGGAATGTAGAGTCTAACATGATTTTTCCTAAATAAGCCAACAAGAGCAAAACCCTTTTCCCTTGATATTCTCTTGATCACGTGTTATAGAAACACTGGGGAGGCTTCAGAGGAGAAATCCACGCTAGAGCACAATCCTTAGAAATGCTGGCCCATTGTATACATAGCTGCATTTGCTTCCCTTGAGCTCTTAAAACATTTATTGTGATGGGTTGCAGATGCGCTATTGTATCCCAGATGTTGTATCACAGGTGTGTGGCAGGAAAGCCTGTGGTCTGTGAATTTTCCACCAGGTTCCTGTTTTGTGAAGGATGTTGTCTTGTGGTTAGGATTGTAATCTATGTGCTGCTAACAGGCTTTGGGTTTCTCTTGCTGCATTCAGGCCTGGCAGACGGAGCAGGCCGCTGAACTGTAAGTACCTCTGATGTTATTTGTAATCAAACACTTCGTAATTTTGTTATGGAAGGCGACAGGGGCTGTGTTCCAATATTCTGGGAAGCAGAGCTGCTCTCACACACTCTCCCGTCTTCTCTCCCCATCCCCGCCCTAGGCCCCCAACCCCATCTCCAGTACTTTCACCGTTGGCCGGAATCAAACCTGGGACCCTTCAGTCTGCAGGCTGATGCTGTATCCACTGAGCCAAGCCGGCTAGGGCAAAACGATTACCTTTTAAAGGAGAGGGACCTAAGTGTAATCCTGGCCATGTCCACCAACGGTGAAACAGAAAAAGGCCTAGGCTTCGTGAGGAGAGTGAGGCTTAGTTCAGAGCCCCCTCCCCCCCACCCCCACTGCAGAGAGAGGTGTGGCTCCTCTGACCTTCAGGCCTGCACTGATCCCAGCTCAGAGCCTGGCCCCAGGGCTGAGGCCACAGTGTCCTTGCTCTAATAAGTCAGACCAGAAGCTCCCTCCTGGAGCCCAGCAGGGGATCTGAAGGCAAAAAGCCCTGTGTTTCTTTGGATCAGGGCTCTGCATGAAGGCCCCTGAGTGACTGAACAAGCTGTCCCCGTGTCTGTGGCTGCACTGTCAGGCCCTCACCCAGCAGGTGTGTGCAAAGCAAAGGCAACACATGAGAAGCAGGGAGTCAGGACACACTGACTACAGCAGAGAAGTGACAAATGACAGGGAGGGGAGAAGAACTCCAAGTGTGCAGCTGTGTGGAGCCATTTGGCACTGGGATAGCAGCCCCGTGGCCCTCACATGCTCCTGGGGGCATGGCGGGTGATAGCACTGACAGTGACTGATGCTCAGAGGGAGTCATCAGGCAAAAGCCGATTATGTTCACTCCACTCCATTTAAAAGGCAGGGATATTTAATGCATGTGAGAAACATTTATATCCCAATGACTTAAAATTTTTCTAAAACTCTTTAATTTTCTGGAGAATTGGCTCATCTCTCAACTGTTGCCAGAAAAATAAGGTGTGGCCATGCTTGAAGACACTGGATTTTAGGGCACATACATTTTCCTGCTTAGCAAGCTGTTGTTTTGTCATTGATTTAATATATATTGATTCGTAGACTCAAGGAGAGGTCTATTTTAATGTCTCTGAAGTCCCAATGTGTTTTTTCTGCAGGTCTTGCTCCCGTCAGACAATCCTTATGGCAGAATCACTGGTACAGTCAAGAGGAAGCTGGCTTCAAGGCTGTGACATTGCAGCCACCATTTGGACTCCACTCCCAGCTGAAGACTTCCTTAGGCCACTCGTGGTGCTAAAAATCATAGTATTTTTAACCTAGTATGTTGATTTATAGTGCGCATTTTCCTCGTGTATGAACAAATTCTTCTACACCTACCTCAGCAAGGTGTTTTATGATTAGTAGCTGTAACATGCTTTGGGGATACAGTTTATTTCACAAATGCTGAGCAGTATTAGAACAATCATAAATTAATATTTCTTTTTAGTTGTCTTGTGTCTTCCTATCTTAGAGAAACTTGGGAATCAATTCACAAAGAATCATGAATTAATGAAAGTGTCACATCAATGAATTTGTGCACAAGTTTAAGAAGCAAGCATTGTTTTCATTCGACTGAGGCTAAAACTTTGCTTCTGGGTACTGCAGAAAATGTAAGGACAAAATCGCATTTTGAAATATATCACCACTTTGACTTCAATTAGACTGAATATTGAATTTTTAAGAATGTTCTAGTTTATTCCTACTCTAAAAGTACTTTTGTAATCTTAATGTACTGGCTTTATGTATTTTGCAAGCCTTAGAGAATATTGAGTACACACTGGGGCTGTGGAAAAAAAAAGTATAAATTGCTTTCTTTGAATAATGCATCACTTTGTCACAAAGAACACATTTAATAAAAGCTAAGTCAATACACCGGTGAATGAATATACATGTAGAAAGAAGACTAGAGACTCTATAGATGGAAATATCAGTGGTGATGATTTCTGGATGGTGGGATTATGAGAGATTATTATTTTTGGCCATGCACTTTTCTGAATCTTTCAAACATGAACATTTACTACCTATATAATCAGAGAAATAAATATAATTGATGATTTAAAGATGCATACAAATTGGAGTGGTGATTATATCAACTGACTAACTCTACTATTGTATATATTATAAAGCTTCATAAACTATAATTTTAGAAATCCATTATGAAAACCTGTCCACTTGAACATTCTAGATAACCTTCCTCCATTTAAAAGACTCAATTTATTAATTTAAAAAATCTCCATTTTTAATAAATGCTTGCATATGAGCACTTAGTATAATCTGATAATTTTGCTTCTTTAACCTTTATAATATTACTACTTAAGGATGCATGGTATAGTGTTTAATTTCACAGGCTCATTTAAATCCTGGTTCCACCTCTTAGTAGCTATATGACAAGTTTCCTCATGTATAAAATGGAGATGAAAATAGAACCTACCTCAGAGGTTTTTGAGGATTAAAAATGGGTTAAACAATTGTAAAGTGCTTTGATAGTATTTATGCCTGTCACACAGAGATATGTATGTGTTTGTTAAAAGAAATATCCTACCTTCTTTTTCTTTGTTATTGACCCAAATAGAAAGCCATGGTTGGATTTTGTGGGTGGGGTGAGAGATGGGAGGTCTGAGAGCAGCAAACCTTAGAAGATGCTGGAGGCCATTCACCTGCTGGAGCCTGAAAGAACAGGAGATAAGAAGGATGAAGTCATTCGATAAGGAAAGCTCTGTGCTGTATCAAATACTCAGGTTACAAAATGTGCTTCCACATCACAGACCTCGCATGGCCCAATGGCTAGTACATTTTATCCTCCTACTGATTTTATAATTCTGTTCAGGGAGGAATGTAGAGTCTAACATGATTTTTCCTAAATAAGCCAACAAGAGCAAAACCCTTTTCCCTTGATATTCTCTTGATCACGTGTTATAGAAACACTGGGGAGGCTTCAGAGGAGAAATCCACGCTAGAGCACAATCCTTAGAAATGCTGGCCCATTGTATACATAGCTGCATTTGCTTCCCTTGAGCTCTTAAAACATTTATTGTGATGGGTTGCAGATGCGCTATTGTATCCCAGATGTTGTATCACAGGTGTGTGGCAGGAAAGCCTGTGGTCTGTGAATTTTCCACCAGGTTCCTGTTTTGTGAAGGATGTTGTCTTGTGGTTAGGATTGTAATCTATGTGCTGCTAACAGGCTTTGGGTTTCTCTTGCTGCATTCAGGCCTGGCAGATGGAGCAGGCCGCTGAACTGTAAGTACCTCTGATGTTATTTGTAATCAAACACTTCGTAATTTTGTTATGGAAGGCGACAGGGGCTGTGTTCCAATATTCTGGGAAGCAGAGCTGCTCTCACACACTCTCCCGTCTTCTCTCCCCATCCCCGCCCTAGGCCCCCAACCCCATCTCCAGTACTTTCAAGGGGGAATAAAGCAGGTGCATTTACCACCTGGGAAGCAGTTTGCATAGCACACAAAGGAGTAGCCATTGTTCGGGGCTTGTGATCTTGGCAGCCAAGCATCTGTCTAAGACTTGTTCCAAATCCTCTAAATTCCAT